CGAGGGCAGAACAGCTACCCATCCATCAACGGCGTGGCGGCACCATCAAATAACATATTTTATGGCAGGTGTTATCATTGTAACTAGCCGGGCCACATCATGCGGGATTGTTTGAAGTTGTGGAAATCGGGAGGTAACGACGGAAGGAAGCCGGGAAATGAATCAAGTCAGTTGCGCTCGGGCCCCCTACTGACCAGGCTTCATCGCTCGAAGATCACCACTCATACCGAGTAGTCGTGCCGATCTATGCGATCACCACACCCTGTTAAAGGGGAGTGAACCTGTTGACTACCCTGTGCTGGTGGAAGGGAACGTTGGCAACACAAGTTTAAAAATATTCGTGGGTGTTGGAGAATCACACAGTCTGTTCGATGTGATGAGAGCAAAGAAAATGAAGCTGCAAATGGAACGGTGCATGCCTCAGATTGACGCGCGGTTGGTCGATGGCACGCCACTTGCAATTCAGGAGCGGGTGAAACACGTTTGCATTGATTGCAACAGCCAAGTCCGCTTCGCTCTGCGGATGCTAACGATGACATTGGATGGCTACGATGTACTCCTGGGGTGCGACTGGCTTCGCAGTATAATCCGATCATTGATTGGAGGAATGGCGACATTCACTGGAAGTGGGATGGTGAGTGGCGACGGCTGCTGAAGTGGAAACAACCCTACCCACAAACAACAATTGTAAATCAAGTGACGATCAAGCATGTGGTGGCGCAAGGCGTGGACATCTACGCTGTCCGATGGATCGCATCTATGAATGTGGCTGAACAGACCAACCTTGAGAAGCTGTGTGTTGCTGTAACTGAGGACATGGCGAAGATCATGCGCAAGTACGAGAAGATTTTTCCCGATGACCTGCCGCCCGGCCTCCCACCTGAACGACCACACGATCATACCATCGGGCTGGAACATGGTGCGCAACCGACCGTCTGATCCCAATGGAGGCTGAGTCACCTTGAAATACAGGAGCTGCATACCCAAATGGACTATCTGCCAGAGAAATTTTTCATTCTCCTGTCAACGTCACCCTACGCCACCCCGATTCTCTTCACCCCCAAAATGAATGGAGGGCTGCAGATGTGTACCGATTATCGCGTGCTCAACAATATCACCATCAAGTCCCCTTACCCGATCCCATGAGCCGACGATCTCATCGACCAACTTCGCGGGGCCCAGATTTTCTCCAAGATTGATCTGCGAGAGGGTTACCACCGGCTTCGTGTCGGCAAAGCTGATATTCCAAAGACTGCATTCCGCACCCGTTACGAGTATACGGTGATGTTGTTTGCATTGACGAATGCGCCCTCAACTTTTCAACTGACCATGAACAAAGTCTTTTGCTTGCTACTGGACAAGTGCATCATCATCTACCTGGATAATATTATGGTGTACAGCAAAACTCGGGAGCGGCATTTGGAGGACCAGGAAGCGGTTTTTACCCTCTGCGATCAACACCGACTCATCACCAAGGGTTCTAAGTGTGATTTTTTAAAAGAGGAGCTAAATTTCCTGAGCACGTCATTTCCACATAAGGCATTAAAATTGACCTGAAGAAAATGGACACTACTTGTAGCCGGGGGCCGCCTACTAACAGGAATGAGTTGCAGAGTTTTCTGGGCTTCGTCAGCTACATGCGCCATTTTATACCCAAAATTGCGGAGTCAACTGCCCCGCTAACCGACTTGCTACGGCAGGGAGTTTTTTATGAGTGGGGGGAAGGCAGCAAGCTGAGTTTGACCAACTGAAGAATTTCGCCATGATACCACTCGTCCTTCGTATCGCCAACCCTGACCACCCTTATGAACTTGTTACGGATGCCAGCGACATTGCCGTTGGCGCGAATCTGTTACTGGACTTTGGCAAAGGCCTTCAACTAATCGCCTATGACTTGCGGAAAATCCAAGGCGCTGAACGGAATTACCCTGTTCACGATAAGGAAATGCTCGCGATGGTCAATGCCTTCAAGATCTGGTGCTGGTACCTATTAGGTGTCGAACAGACCATAAGTCCCTACAGTTCCTCCGAGCCCAACCGCCCCTCAACCCATGTTAGATTCGTTGGCTCGAATATCTAGAGTCCAACTTCCACTACCGCATCACCCACAGTAGAAAAAGGGGGCAAATAATATTGCCGACGCCCTTTCCCGCCCTACTGCCCATACATCCATCGTACTAATCGTCCAAGCTAATCTGCTGCTTACTGTACTATTTACCCACGACTACACTATTGACCCACTCTTCACCTCTAACTGCCACCAGGCACAAAGCACTCAAAAAGGCCATTACCACCTAAAAGCTGGTACCAACCGAATTTGGGTTCAATCCTACCGACTCTTACAGGAATTAGTGATACAGGAGGTTCATGACGTTACAGTAAATGCTCTGGACATTTCGAGGTATATAAAACCTTGAAAATGCTCCAACATCATTATTACTGGCCGAATGCGAGCCATGATGTACAGCAATACGTGGCCTTATGCCCCAGCTGCCAAGTCATGAAGTTCTCTTGCCAAAAGCCAGCTGCATTACTGCAACCATTAGAACTGCCCACCAAGCCCTGGAAACACGTGTCCATGGACTTCGTGACAGGACTACCGACCAGCACATCCCAAAATGATGTTGTGCTCGTGGTCATTGACCGACTCACGAAAATGGCTCATTTTGCGCCCCGCCGAACGACGATCACATCCGAGCAAACTGCCAAGCTATTCATCTCTACTGTCCTTCGCCTGCACGGAATCCCGAAGGCGATCGTGAGCGATCGTGACCCCAGATTTACGTCAAAATTCTGGACAAAAATGTGTGAACAGTACGGTACACATCTCCAACTATCCACGCTTACCACCCACAGGCCGACGTCCAGACTGAACGGACAAATCAGACCATGGAGCAGCTGATACGGACAACATGTACCGACCCGACTCAATTGGAAGATTCTCTCCCCTTGGTCGAGTTCGCGTATAACAAGGCCCCTTCGTCCACGACTGCATCAGTTCGTCAAGGACTTACAAACACGCTACTGAGGCTATTTCAAAAGCTAACCTTAGTACCCGACGATACGCCGACAAACATAGACGGGATTTACCCTTGTCCCCTGGGCAATTATTCCTGCTTGACTCTAAGAATTTAGGGTTGAGTTTTACCTCACAAACTCCGCCCGAGACTCTATGGACCCTTCCCAATTGTTCGGATGGTGATACCTGTCACTGCCAAACTAAGTGATATCGGAAGACTGGCGTATCCCCGATTCCTTCCACGTCAGCCTCCTTCGACAGTTTGTCGCAAACACGTCTGATCTCGACTGTCAACGACTTTATTCGTCAATCAGGCCCATCCCTGGGCCAACCACCGAGCCTCAACAGATTCTCTCTCACAGAATCCGCCGATACCACGGTCAACGGGTTTTGGACTTTCTGGTTCGCTGGGTTGACCGAACGTGCGACGAAGACATGTGGGTCCCAGCAGCTACCCTCGAAAACCACCCGCTGGTGCAGGCCTGTTTACACAATCGGGCTGCCCCAAATGTGGGTAGTCTTGTCTAGGAGGGGGGAAGGTGGAAAGAAAACCGTTTTCCCTTAGCGAGCCTCGCTAACATAGAGTACAGCCCTGACTTTCGGAAGTCCAGGCTCAGCCCATCAACTCAGGTCCCGAACTACGTTCGAGACCCCCAAGCCTGCACATGGAGCCGCGTCAGACACTTCCGAGCCCCGAGGCGCCCAAACCAACTCGCGTGTGTTTCGTGGCCCTTCTCGAGACCCCCTTGCTAGGCTAGCTGTGCTTGTATTTATATCTGTGCTTCATTCGATCTTGACACACTTTAATCACGACCTCTCTATTGCATTACTGGACTCCTATCTGGAGATTATCATTGCTGAAGCAGAGGATGGCCACACACACTACAGATGGTAGCAAGTGGTGCCATTCCCAATGGACCTCCAATCAGTTATTGGCTTGATATCTGTGTCTTGCAATGGTCTGCACACCTGTTTCATCCTGGAATTCTTGCTTGTGTGTACACATCATGCTTATTGTGAAAATGTAGACAGAATCACCAAGCGCAAACAATTAATTACAAGGGTGTGTAGGTTACTCCGTAGAGTAAATTCTTCATACAGGCTGTTGCCTGAGTGAAGGGTGGGAGGAGGGAACATACTGCAGGAGGAGAGGAGAGGCGAGGAGGGAGTGTTAGCGTTTTTTAACCTTTGCTAGGCCCTTGCTGCCCCACCTCTCTTATGGCGCACGGAGCGAGAGTGCGGGCAACGGGCCTCACAAAGGCACCATGAGGGGAGGGGTTGAAGGAGTGAGGAGTGGTGAGAGTGGAGTATGGAGTGGAGGGGAGGGAGGGAAGGGCAGAGGAGGCAGAGGAGGGATGGACTGGAATGAAAGCGTGAGAATTCTCGGATGGGGAGGCTAAGGCCCAGAGGTTGGGATTGATCAGTCTGTTTGTTAGTTCGGTGGAACCATGATGCTGCTGCTGCTGCTGTTTTTGCAGCTGCTGGTTTAGTGGCTGCTGCTTTTGCTGCTCCAGATTTTCCTGCTGCTGGTTTTGCTGCTGCTGCTGGTTCATCTGGTCAAGATGTCCTTTCTCCAAGTAGGGAATGTGCGGGTATGGGTATGATTGCATCGGCATGTGCTGTTGCTGTTGTGCGTGTGGGTATTGTTGCTGTAGCTGCTGCATTTGCAATGGCACCTGTTGGAGCTGGGTGTGCTGCTGGCTGTACGGCTGCTCATGCTGGTGAAAGGGCACCAGCAGCACCTGCTGGTTCCCCTGCCAGTGAAGCACCTGCTGCTGCTGCTGCTGCTGTGGCTGTAACTGCTGTTGATAAAAATGCTGCTGCTGCTCCTGGTACTGCTGTGTCTGCAGCACCATTGCATGCTGCGCCAGGGGCTGACGCGGTCCAGCACTGCCCACTTCACCCATCCTCCCATTTGCCGCCCCGTCTGCTGCAAAGGCTGCCCCTGGCGTTGCCACCCCGTCTGCTGCAAAGGCTGCCACTGGTGGGGATCCTGATTGGATTGAGGGAACCAAAATGCCACCCAGAACCAGCAGCTGACCAGACGTCCCACCAGCAGCAGCAGCTGATGCTGTTGCCGACACTAGTGCTGCTGCTGAGGCGGGTACTCCAGTTGGAGATGTTGGACCAAGAGGAGGGCCACGAGGGGAGCAGTGAAAGGGATAGGTGGATGGGGGGAGGGACGTGAGGGGAAGGGCGGCAGGTGCTTTGGAGAAGGGGGAGGAGCAGGTGGAGGGGAGGTGCCGAGGGGGCGGAGAGCCTTGGTGCTTCTGAGGGGGGGTGGCGCGACTGCAGACGGTACTTCTGCAGGGCGAGGACGAGGGGAGGAGGGAGAACAGGGGAAGAACGAGGGACAGTGTGAGGAGAGACAGGGTATGAAGGCATGGCGTTGCTTTCAGGCAGGGAGGCGCAGAGGGGGGAGGGGGGCCATGGCGTGTGTGAAGGGGCAGGGGCCATGCATTGTGGCATGCAAGCCTACCTGCAGGTGGCTCTTGATCTCGTCTTTTTGTGAGCCCATCCACCATCTTACCTGGTAGGGCAATGTTACAGTAGCCTGTGTACAGTGTCCCGCACGCAAGCCTACCTGCAGGTGGCTCTTGATCTCGTCGTTGGTGAGCCCATCCACCTTCATCAGCGCCTTGATCTGCTTGGGCGTGGCCACTGGGGGGAAAGGGGAGGTGGGAAACAGACACGAGAGGATGGACAGACACGGGAATCAAGGCCATCCACCTATGCTGGCGCCTTGATCCGCTTGGGAGTGGCCATTGGCGAGTGCGAGGGGAAGTGATAGAGTGGTAGCGAGCATGATGGGGTATGGGAGAGAAGAGTGGGGGAAGAGGAGGAAATCTTCATCATTAGGGGAAAAGAGTGGCCATCCATCTTCTTCAGCGCCTTGGTCTGCTTCAGCGAGCAGAGAGGTGGAAAGCAAGGGGTAGCGAGCGAGCACAACGGGGTTCGGGGTTCGACCTCGATTTGCTGATGGGGGGGAGGGAGGAGAGGGAAAGTGATAGAGAACTGAAGGGCATGAGGAGATATCGGAAGGAGGAAGTGATAGAGGATTGAAGGGCAGGAGGGGATGTGGGAAGGAATGGAGGGGAGAAATAATTGATAGAGGGGTGGCAGGCATGTAGGGGATTCGGAAGAGAACCCGTGGGAGAGAGACAGAGGGGAAGCGGGTGGAGAGAGTATGGCAGGGCATCGTACCATGGCATCCGCCCAGCGACTCCAGTGCTTTGACGAATCGCAGGTGAATGTCGGGCGACCAACACCTCCTGTGCTTCCGTGCTGCCCCTGCCCCTCTCTCCTCCCCTCCAGTTCCCCTCTGGCCTCCACTCCCTCTATCGCCTCCACTTCTCCTATCGCCTCCACTCCCTCTATCGCCTCCACTCCCCCTTTCACCTCCACTCCCTCTATTGCCTCCACTTCCCCTATCGCCTCCACTCCCCCTCTCCCCTCCACTCCCCTCTCCCCACCACTCCCTCTCTCCCCTCCGATACTCCCCCTATCTCCACTCCCTCTCCCCCTGCAGGATCCACTGCTCGTGCGCCTATCACTCTGTTGCTCCTCCTCACTCCTTCCTGCGCTTTTCCTCTCTCCTCCTCGTCTCGCCATCCTCAACACACCCCCCCCTTCTGCAGCCCTCGTTGCCCCTCTCACACTGGGCCTCTCTGTTGCTGCTGCTGGCCGACTAACTCTCTGCTGCTCCTCCTCATCCCCTCCAGCCCTTCCCCCTCTCGTCTTCCTCCTGCCATCCCCTTTGACCCCTCCTCCTGCACTCCTCTCTGCTCCTCTCACCCCTGGACTCCCTTTTGCCGCCTGGCGGTGGCTCTCCCTCTCATGGCTGCTCCCAGCAGACTGAGCTGTCCGGGTTGTATCTTCCCTGGGTGTATCTGCCATCCTATCCTTTCCTGCTTGCCACGTCTTCCTGCTGCGACTTGGTTCCCTGCGCTCCTTTGCAGACTTTCCAGCTGCCACACCCCCATCACTAGCATCACCAGCACCATCACCAGCGGCAGCACCATCATCATCATCATCATCAGCAGCAGCAGCAGCAGCAGCAGCAGCAGCAGAACGAGGAGCAGCAACCTCTCTTTTCTCCGCTGCTCCTCTTCCCTTCTCTCCCCCACTGCCTTCCGTCAGTGCAGATTCTCTTGTTGGCCCCGCTTCTCCTCCCCCTTCCCCTGCTCCACTGCCCCTCGTCCTTCCCAGCTCCAGCCATACTGCCCCCACACCACTCATGAGCTCCTTCCTGGTTCCTTCTGCACCGCTCATCATTCCTTCTTCTGCTGCCTCTCTGCCCCGAGCAATATTTCTGCTCACAGCCGTTGCACCAGAAGCAGCAGCACCAGCAGCAGCATCAGCAGCAGCAGCAGCAGCAAGAGCACCAGCAGCAGCAATGGCACCATCACCATCACCACCATCGCGCCCCAAACCTTCTACCCCAAAGAGTTTCACGCCAAGCCCTGTTGTGGCGGAACCACCAAGGGTGAGCGACAGACTCCGCTCTTCTCCGCTTGCTCTCACCTGGGCCTCCCCCTCTCTTCTTCCCCCGTGTCGAGCATCGCCCACCAACCACTCTCTCTCATCTGCC